CATTCAGGAGGAAAAAGTCCTGCAACACAGGTGGGGAGAACAGCAAAGACCACCAATGATTCTGGAAGCTGAACATCAGCTGATGGAATAGGGGGGCTCTGGATGCTTAAATCCGAGGACTTTGGGACAGGGACAGAGGGAACCCTAGGTGAACCTGTGGGGTCCAGGGGCCATCCCTCTCACCAGAACCTGGGCACAGCAGAGTTATAACCCACTTTCATCTCCACACCCAGGAGATGGTCCATTCAGTTGCGCCCACAGAGGCCTCATCTCAGGGACCCCAGCTGGGTTCAGCATCAGCTCACCCTGTCTAGCAGGTCATGGCATCTGGAGAGTCAATATGCGGAGCGATTTCCCCATCCAATCACTCACCTACCCAGGGCTCATCTTGCCTCGGTTGCACCCCAGTGATGGGGAGCTCACTATCAACTAAGGTGGCCCTTTTAGAAAAACTTCTTTCTACTTGGGGCTGTTAGCCACTTGTCAACCCCCCCTTAGGGCCACGGAAATGTTTCTGAAGCTGTACAGACCGCCTCTATGTCTCATACGAGTTGTCCCTACCTCCTTTCACCACTCTGCACTGCAGCTGTGCTGGCTGCTGCTGCTGCTTTGCGCTCAGCAATGCTTTCCTGTTAGGAACAGCTCCCCTCCCCCCTTGGGAGGCTGGGCTGCGAGGGTGTAAACCTGAGTTTGCAGGTGGTCATCTTCCCTGACCACACGGAGGCAGCCCAAGCAACAGGACAGGGGGAAGGAGCCTTGAGCAGAACCCCTGGGATGCAGCCCCTGCATACATGAGCCAGGGTGGTCCCCTCTTGGCTTAGCAGGTTGACTTGGTTTTGGACACTTGCAAACAAATGCATCCCACCTGAAAGACTCCTCAGCATGGTCTTTGAGTCCTCCCCTCCCCTGAATCCTGAAGTGAGACACCCAGCAGGGAACCCTACACTCCAGCTGAGTCTGGACAGAGCAGAGCAGACCCACTGCCTCCTTGATCTGGGCACCCATCCCTTGGAGGGAGCCCATGGTAGTGCCAGGCTCTCCAGCAGCCACGCCAGACCCATGACTCACACAGCACAAAGGCAGCATCTTTTCCTACATGTGCTGCTGGGAAGCCAAGCGCCTCCACTCTGCGGGTGCACATGTGGGGGACTAGTTCCCAGAGAAGCTTAGCAACTGCAGTAACAGCTACAGACAAGGGACAATGTTGGTACCAACACAGCTGTCTTCAATGACAAACAGTGACAATTTCCAAGAAGTCCAATCACCAGTTACTGTTCTGGGCACATACAGCTCCTGACTAGTGAACCCCCAAGGAGGCACACAGCTTCTCTATTTCACAGCTTTCTTTATTTCACATCAAAAGCATTTCCCAGCATAATGACCCCAGCTCAACTCCAGAACAAACGTAATGTCTCTGCACTCACAGAAGTGGAAGCAGCATTTTAAGAGAGGCTGGGAGGCAAAGGGATTAAGAACACAAGCTTCAGACAGAGCTACACCCAAATACCAACTCCCAAGTAACTATGTGGGCTTGAGAAAGTGGCTTAATGTCTCTGAGTCACAATTTAAAAAAAAAAAAAAAAAGCCCCCACCACCTCCCTTACAGGCCTACTGGGGGTTATACATTTAACAGAAGCAAAACGTAGTGACTGCACATACTGTTACTAAGCTTCTGTGGGGTGCTTTTTTTTTTTTTAAATAATAAATTTTATTTTTATATTCCCCATACAATTGCAACCCCCCCATTCTGACCCCAATCCCTCCCATCCCGCCCCCCACCCCCCAAAAAGTGTCTCTGGTTCATAGTTTTTTGTTGATTTTGATTTTCACTTTCTTATAGTTATTCATTTTCCTGGTCCCTTATTTAAGTTTTCTAGATTCCTGCTATGAGTGAGACCATCCGGTATTTTTCTTTTTCTTTCTGGCTTATTTCGCTGCGCATGATCCCTTCCAGCGCCATCCATGTTGCTGCAAATTGCATGTGTTTATCTTTTTTGAATGCTGAGTAATATTCCATGGTTTAATTCAAATTCTATGGTGTTGAACTAAGCACTCCTTCCCTCCAGGATCAACGTAGAGAGACATCTAGCCCACACAAACAAAGATACAAAGGCAGATGAACTGTCTGTCCCACTCAGGCACCTTCTAAGTTCTTTCCTGCACCCTGAAGAGCATTTCAAGGTGCCTCTGTGCTGGCTGGGGAGCCACGCCTCTCCCACAGGCATAGATGCCCTACAAATACTTGTGTAACTGTTGTAGAGCAACCCCGATACAAAACGGGGTGCCTGACTGTGGGTCCTCACCCGCGCGCTTAAAAGGACTTATCAATGCTCTACTGCAGGCACACGGGAAAGGTTAATAAAAGGTTTATTTACAAGGGAAGGGGAAATGAGGAAATGTACAGCTCTGGGAGAAAAGTGGGAGACAAAGTTTTAAATGAGTCCTACCCGATCCGCCGATCAGGAACCCCAAAATGGCGCTCTGAGAGCTGGCCGCCAGCCAGGAGCAGTGAAGCCAGGAGGCGAGCGATCGCGAGCCAGAGAGAGAGCAAGGCCCACGTGTTTGGTTTTTATATCCAACCTGGCTGCCCAACTCCACCCTCAGGTCCCAGCCACCCTCCCTTGGTGGTGATGGGATTTGTCTTTCCCAGAGTCTTGATGGCTTTAGTCTGGAGTGGGGATGGAGAGTCCACAAAGCCTGTATGAGATTATCTCAGGACATCACTTCCCCCTAACATACCCACTGCTCTGCTGGGGTGGGAGTGACAAGAATGAGCAGGTGGCATGGTGACTGGCTCTCGGGGAGGTTGGGGACAGCGGCTCCATCACAGTGGTGCTGGAAGACCCTCTCCAGGTCACAAGGGCAGGACCTGGCCCTGTCCTTTTGTTAGGGGGAAATGATGTCCTGAGCTAATTCCACGCAGGCTTTGTGGACCCCGCCCCCACTCCAGACTAAAGCCATCAAGACACTGGGAAAGACAAATCCTGTCACCACCAAAGGGAAGGTGGCTGGGACCTGAGGGTGGAGTTAAGCAGTCAGGTTGGGTATAAAAACCAAACACGTGGGCCTTGGGGGGGGGCTCGCTATCTGGCTTCACGGCTCCAGGCTCGCGGCCAGCTCTCAGAGCGGCATTTGGGATTCCAGATCGCCATTTGGGATTCCAGATCAACGGAATGGGTAGGACGCATTTAAGACTTTATCTCCCACTTTTCTCCCTGAGCTGTACATTTCCTCATTTCCCCTTCCCTTGTAAATAAACCTTTTATTAACCTTTCGTGTGTGCCTGCAGTAGAGCATTGATAAGTCCTTTTAAGCGCGCAGGTGAGGACCCACAGTCAGGCACCCCATTTTGTATCAGGGCTGCCCTGTAACACTTTCAGGGCACAGGAGCATGGCCTGGCTGCAGTTGGCACACACCGCCACGTGTGAGCACTGTGTCTCCTTAGCTTGACCACCACCCTGCAGCACTCCCGACCATGTGATCCACTGCCACGGAAGCGAGAAAATGTCCTGGACCTTTACAAACCCCCCTGTTTGGCTTGTGTCTGAAGGACAAGTCTAATTCTTGTTCACTGCACCTTTCTTTCCAAACCCAGGTGTAGAACCAGGAACCTGAAAGACCTGCCAGCTTTAGCTGCACCCGCAACCCCTAGCTTTCCTAGTCTCTCACCATTCCCTTTTTAACCTCAACCAACCTAAACCCTCTGGCTCTTCAAGGCTGCACGCACAAGACACCTACTCGGGAAGCCCTCCCAGCATTGCAGCCCACAGTGATCCTCACCATCTCCACTCTGAGGACTGCCAGACAAGTCTTGGTACACTCAATATAAACAAGTCTATTTTATCTGGGGATGTTTTCTTCCCTAGCCCAGACTGTCTGCAAGTTGTTCAAGGCCACACTGTGTCAGCTATTCTCATGCATTCCCCTGGGTTTTTCCAGAGCTGGGTACACAGCAAGTGTTCAACAGCTACATAAGTGAACTGGCTGATTCCTAACCAAAAGCTCTGATCTTGCCTCAGCATGGAGAGACTCCTCCCCACCCCCATCTGCTGCCAGAGGATCCTGTGTTAAAAATATCTCAAGCCAGGTACCCTGGGGCCGGGGAGAGGCCTGCCCCCAAGGCAATCGCCTGAGTGCCCTCCCTCGGGCCTCTTGCCTGCCCTCTCACACACGGTTAATGAAAGGTCACATTCCTCCCAACTATTTCATGGCTCAGGCCTAAGAAGTGCTTTTCACAGTGGGAGCTTTCAGAGCTGTGCAGATGGAACAATAGCTGCGCTTCCGGGCAGGATGCCTCTCGCTTCTCCAGCTGCTTTCTCACTCTCTCTGTGAAGTTTTATCACCTACAGGGAGGGGCTCAGTGTGCATCTCCTACATGGAAATGGGAGACAACTTTATTTTTTCTTTACATTTAAAAGGACAGATTTATTAGGAAAAAGAGAAAGAGAATGAGAAGCATCTCCATAGACACAGGCGGCTGGAGACCTGCCTCTGAAAGGGCCAGGTTTGTTATAAGAGAAGCCTGCATAGACACAGGCAGGCGGGAGAGCTGCCTTTGAAAGCTCAGACCACATCATTCCTTGTGGAGCTTGCGCCACCAGCAATAAAAGCAAACAATCTACCAAGCTCTTTGAGGTTTAAAACATACACTCTATGGACCAAACACACCGCCACCCCACTGGAGGCTCTGAAAAAGAGAATGGTTATTATCTAGAGGGGCTTTTTGGTCCTGCCTCAGGACAAGAAGAGATCAAAGTCTTATTCCCTCATTCTGTAAACCAGAGACCTTACAGCAGAATTCACAGGAACCTAAGGAGAGCCCAGAGTTTGAGGCTGTAAGAAATAAAACCCTTCTGATCCCCACAGGAGATGCCCCTGTTCAGGATCCAGAGTTGATAAGACCCATGTGGACTTTGGCTCGGGGCTTGGTTCCAAGGAAGCTGACACTCTCAGAAAAAGGAGTGTCCACAGGAGGCAAGACCTCTGACACGTCACTCACCTTTAGGTCTAGGTACTCCAGATCTTTCTTCAGCTGGAGGTAGGTATCGTCAGCCTTCAAATGAAGCACAGAGGGAAAAATGTCAGACATGAACACCGAGAGTTTCCATAACGCAGGGCTGCACATGGTAATCAGTTCCGCTGCTGGGGGGCAGAGACGGGGACCACAGCAGAACACATCCAGAGCCACAGACCAAGCGCCCACATCTCAGTGCAGCTCAGAGCCTTCTGTCAGCATGTTGGATCTGGCAGGTCACTGTGGGAAGAGCCAACTTGTCCCCCTGTTGGCTGAGAGGACAGTTTGATGGGGGGAGGGAGATAGCACAGCAGAGGGAGGCCCATTATAAGCTCCCCAGACAGAATTAGAGAGGTTCAGCTGGAAGAGGCCATGCCACCCCTAAGTCAGGGTCCCAGCAATCGCAACGCTCCAATTCTTGTCATCAGACCTCTGCACTGGGTCATTCACATGCATGAAGCAAAATGACCCCTGAGGGGTGTGGAAGAATACCTTGAAGAGGCAGGGAGATGACCCTGAAGGCCTAGGAAGGCCCCTTCTGACTTTGGAAGCCAGAATGATAAAGCATGGGCAGCCACTGGAAGTCTCCTGGAAGTTCTGGCTCCCTTTGCTCAGCATGGAGTCAATATGACTATGGCAAGAGCTGGTCAACAAGTCCCAGGATTAGACCTATTGTTATAGGACAGGACCACCCTGTTACACTATCTGCTCTGTCATCTGACAGTCTACCCAGTTTTTCAGTGTAATTACTTGGGACAGTGCGACTAAGGAAAGACTCCTTGATTTCCTAGACCTTGTGCTTCCCATGTAACAGATCACAGAAGATAACCGTGAGGCAGAAGAGCCACGAAAGCTCAAGGAAAACAGTCCAGATTCCACTTTCTCTGCAGACTATAAGGCTTCTCAGCAAGCCAAGGTAAGCCTGGGCTGGAAAGGTGAGCCCTGTTTACAGCTCCAATGTAAAACAAATGCACAAACAATACAAAACATTTAGGCAGTGCTTTTTAGCATGAGAAAGCCTGAGGGGACACTGGTGGCTTACAAGATCTTATTATTATCCCTAAACTGTCTCCTTACCTTTCCCTACTTCCCTAAGCAGTCCGATATCTGACATTTTTTCACAGAAGTAAGGACAACGTGGAGAAATGTTAGTAAAAAAATCACCCAAATTCACAACTCCAGGGTTTTGCACATGTTCCCTTATATTCCATTTTTCAAAATACATTTTCTGACTCCCTCCAGTCTCACTAAGCAGGACGAGAAAGGAAGGAGACAATTTCACCTCCCTTTTCATCTGTCCACTGTCTATTTCTGTGCAGCCTGGAGGAACCTGCCTCATGTGGACCTGTAACATCTTCTTTTACCCATTTAAGACACCTGAAAAGCAACTGCCTGGTCATTCCTTTGCAGCTTCCAGCAAAGCCCCATGTCCTAGTAAGTTTAGAATGCTATGCTGCATAGGACTTACATTTTGGCTCCAGCCTACATGCCATTAGGTGAGGGACCCCAGGACTCAGCTGGACTCACTTCCTCATGTGGTCATTACTGCTATCCTACCCTTTCTCAGGTTCACCAGGATGAGGGATGTGAGGAAGCTTTGTCCATCAGCAGGACACTGTCTAGATGACAGAGGCCACTAGGCCTTCTCCCTCCAGGCTGACACACCAGCACCCCAAGGAGTGTCCACGGTAGTGACAAGATGACAGCCAGCACAGCCCTTCAGACATGACCACACACCAGTCACTACGCACAGGCAGAGAAACCACAGTTTGGGCGCCTCACACCACATGCAGCCTCAACCCCAGCGCCAGGGGAGTGGACCCCACCACTGCTGCACAGAGTGTGGCCACAGCATCCAGAAGCACACAGGCAGGGAACATGGGAAAGAGCCAGACAGCAAATACAGAGCACGGGCATGAGGGAACATAGGGCAACATGTCACTCCCTTGCCCCCAGGGTGGCCTGGCCCTGAGCAAGCCCACCATCGCTGACCTGGTAGGTGGGAAATGTCAGCTGGTGCTGCAGTAACTGGCCGACGGCAAAATTTCGCACACTGGCCAACTTGGCCTGGTGCCGCCGTAAGCGGGTGAGAAGCAGCGAGAGCTCCTCCAGCTGCAGGTGTGTAGACACATCATGAGGAGGTTAGCCACACAGGAGCATGACACCATGATTACTCTCCACCCCACTGCCAGGACAGCACTGCTGCAGCACCCTTAGCGGTTACTGCATTAATTCCATCATTAGGACAAATAAAGGCCCTGGCAGAAAGGGGCTGCAGGAAGTTGTTCTTTCAGGAAACTGCAGCCAACAGTGCAACCGCACCCAGACCTGAGCCTTGAAGGCAGACTGAATGAATCAGAGACCAGGGAAGTAAGGAGTTAAGAGAAGAATGGCAGGTAGCTGGAAAACTTGGCAGATGAGATGCTGCCCTAAAGAGAAGAGCCCACGCTGCCCCGCCCACCCCCTCTAGCTCTTTGCCTGACCTGGGGAGGCCCCAAAGCAAGTCGCTGGCCTTCTCTGAGTCTCAGTTACCTTATTTCTTATTTCCATAGACTGCTTTGGATTAGCTGGGGGGGAGGGGAAAAGTGGGAGAAGTGAGGGGGATGGGGGACTTGAGACGACAGCCCTTTGCAGGCTGCACCATCTCATTCACCTGGGAAGGTGGGGGGGTGAGAATGAGGTGCTGCTTACCGATTTTCCGTGTAAACTGGGAGCACTGACGGTATGGGTCATGTAACCCATGGAGGGCATGGTGCGCCGGTCCACGTGAGAGAAGTTCTGCAGATAAGAACATGAGGAGTCATGCTGAGGGCCAAGCAAGGGGGCCAGAGTGTGGCTAGAACCTGGTCACTCACTGCCTGGGTTGCCTACCTCCCCAAACCTCACATTTTTCATCTATAAAATGGGGGTACGGGCCTTTCTCACCAGATTAGAACAATGCACTGTGAGAGCTTATAACTGAACACAGACATCTTTTCCTGCCTTCCAAGCCACAAGGAGCAGACTCCTTCTTGTGTGACCCTGTGCAAGTTACTTGGTCTCTTAATGTCTCAAGTGTTCTCATCTATGAAATGGGCACAATAATAGCACCTACCTCAGCATTGCTGGAAGAATTAAAAGACATTTAGTACAAACCTAGCACCTGAAAGAAACTATCATTATCGTTCCAAATTGCTCAAATTTGTGTTCGAACCACCTAAGGCTCCGGGCACCCTCCCCTTCCGGGCCCCAGCAGCCTGCCAGGGCCTGCAGAGCCTCACCTTGGTGGCAGGACCCCGTGTTTTCCTGGGAGAGCCCCCCAGCGAGATGTCGACGCTCCTCCTCTGGTCCGGCGGCTTCACGGTGACCCTCTCTGCTGGTGTGTGTGGTCGCCGGGGTGGAAGGACCCTTGGGGGGCCTGGGGGAGGGATGTCCGAGGGAGATGGAGGCACAGAGATGGAGCGGGGTACCTCTAGCATGCTCTTGCTCCGGCCCTGGTCCGTGAACTCTGGGGAGCCAGCACAGATGGGTGCCGTGGGGCTGCCGTGCCGGAACTGCTGGCGCTGCTGCCACTCGTACAGCTGCCACACGGTGCCATCCCGGTGGGCCCGGCGCTCCTCACTCGACATCTTCAGGTGGCTGGCTCGGTCCTGCGCGTACTTATAGTCACTCGGCAGGTTGCGGGGTGGAGGGGAAGAGCTCCCCGAGGGGTGTCGGGTGCTCTTAGGAAGAGTCTGGTAGTTGTCTGGGAAGGACAGCGACTGGCTAGGGCCCTGGCGAGGAAGGGTCTGGTCCAGAGGCAGGCTGCAGAGGAAAGAGAATAACAGGTAAGACCACTGAGCAAGCGTCTTCCAGGCTTTTGGAAACAGCAAAGTAAAATCCACAAAACCAGGCAGGTGAGGAAGCCCTGTAAGAACCCAAAGAGCAGCCAGAGTAGACATGCAGGACTTGACTCACTTCCTCCCCTAGCAGAGAACTCCAAAACCACTTTTGTCCGTGAACTTTGACATGTCAACTCCCTAACGGGCTGACTCGGCTGCCCCACACCCATCACTCGAGTGCAGTGTGATTAAACCTGTCTCCTCCTCGCCCTCCTGCCATCAGTCAACTCTTCCAACTCTTCCAACAGGGGTGCAGTGAGGAAATGCCTCACAATTTTCAGGGTCACCAAGACTTGCCCTCCACCCATATCTAAGCAAGTTCTGGAGGTCCCTCAAGGGAGTTGCTGGCCTCCATTTCTTTCTTTTTCCACTACTTTAGTCCAGATGACGATTATTTACCTGCCTCCACACAACACTGAGACCTTCCGAACTAGTTTCCACACTGTATGCAGTCAACTGCTTTGGTCAAACACTCCCATGCTCCAAAAACTTCAACGGCTCCCCATTGCTTAGAAAAGAAAATCTAAACTCCTTAGGCACTCTGAGCTCTAGAGCCCCTGACCCAACCCACCTTGCAGTCCTGCTGTTTCCCCACTGGTCCTCCTCCTATGGGGAGCAGGATGAGGCAGGCTGGGGTGCTTCCTCTTATGTGCTGGCTGAGCCTGAGTGACAGCTTCACCCTTGTCCTGCCCAGCCTCCTGCACCTGGGCCACTAGCTGTGTGACTCCAGGCCACTAAGCTGACTGCCCTGAGCCTCAGCTTTTTTCTCTTTTTTTAAGATTTATTTATTCATGCATACAAGGACGGGATATAGGCCAGATGCACGGGAGGGTGAGAGGATTCACCAGAGACAGAGTGGGGGACAGAACAGGCAGACTGACTGAAATACACTGCTGAGGGGAGCAGCGGGAGAGACAGAAGAGGTCTGCCGCGCCATGTGGGATTCTCACTGGCCAGCCAGGATCAAACCGGGCTGCAGAAGCTGCGGACAGCTTCATAGCGCTGTGCTCAACCGCCTGCACCACCAGGGGAGGCCCTCAGCTTCTTTTCCTGTACCATAAGGACATTATTACCTGTCTGTTAGGGCTGCTCTCAGAAGTAAATGAGGGCAGTCAGCTGGGGCCTATGATACATGAAAGGGACGTCACTGGTGGTCTCTTCCTGCCACTCACTATTCTCTGGGTTCTCCCCTCCCCCTACCTGTAGTGGGCTCCTCTGGCCCAACTCATCCACATCTGGTTCATTCTCCAGGACCTTCCAGGAGAAGGCTCTTCCAGGGAGGCTTCTGCAATACCTGGGCCCTCAGGGTCCTGCTCTGCTCTGACCTGGTTATCAAATAGCCTGTAACATTCCCAAGGTCCTGTATGGATATAACTTTTCCATACCGGCAAGACATCTCTTCCCAGTTCCTATAAATCCTTGGAGGTCAGAACAGTGTCTCATGCTCTGTGGTGTGGTCCACAGCCTGAAAAAGGCCTGACGCATAACCGGCCCTTCAGCAAACACTCCAGCCACAAGCTGGGTGTGACTGAAAACTACCATCAACCTGTCCTTTTTTTTTTTCCTGAGAAGGAAAAAAATTAACCAAGGGGCAAGGTGTGGAGGTTTTTTTTAACATTTATTATATTTATTTATGCATACAAGAGCTGGGGTGTAAGCCAGAGGTACAGGGGGGTGGTGAGAGGATTCACCAGAGACAGGGCGGGAAACAGAACAGGCAGACTGATTGAAATACACTGTTGAGGGGAGCCACAGGCGAGACAGGAGAGGCATGCTACGCCATGTGGGTCAACTCCCTGGCCAGGGATTGAACTCATGGTGCAGTGGCTGCCAATAGCTTCATAATGCTGAGATACAACCCCTTGAGCCACAGTGAAGGCCCAAAATACAGAGTTTTGTTAAGTCTGAAAGGTCTAACATGCAAGGCAGTATGACATGGTAAAAAAAAAAACAAGTGTTTGGATTGGACAGGCCAGGGTTGGAATCCTAGCTCTGCCTTTATCTAACAAACCTTGATGCAGACACTTGCCACAAGCTGTTCTAAGCCAGTTCTGCTCAGAGTGGCCGCATCAGCACCTCCTGGGGACTTGTTAGAAATGCGGGTTCTCAGACCCCTGGACTTGCCAGTCAGAAACTTGGTCCCTGAGGATGGAGCCCTGTCACCTGTGTTTTAACAAGTCCTCCAGGTGGCTAAAGTTTGAGAAGTGCCTGCTAATTGTTTTCAAACTCATCTCAATCATCCCCAGGTGCATGACCTCAGGTGTCATTTATGTCCTCTATTTACTATAAAATGGGGACACTGGTGACTGCCTAATAAATAGTCATGAGGATAAAAAGCAGTTCTCATTTGGAAAGGTTAGCTTTCTTCTCTCCTTTTATATCCTCATCTTTGCAGCGGCAGGAGGTAGGTCATATTAAGATCTCTTCAACCAGACTTGTCCTGGCTAATGTGTCTGTTTGCCACTAGGTGGCAGGGTTTCCCACTGATTCCCCAACATCAGAAGGGATTGTGCTCTGATGAAGGGGCCTGAATCCTCAAACAGGTTGCAGCTGCAGAAACCAGGCTGGGGGCTTCCCCTGGGGAGTTTATGACTTTATTAACCATTGTTAACTCTGCCTAAACCAAAAAGCAAACTATGCATTCATGTCCTAGCTGTGCTCCCACCTACACACCCTTCTGTAGGGCCCTGCAGCCCACTCCATGCCTGCCTAAGGTGTCTGAATGGCGAGTCTCCCCTCACTGGACAGTGCCCCAAGTCCCTGAGTTCTTCCTCCAGCCATGCCCTGTGCTTACACACTGCCTGCCATCCCCCAATGCTGGCCATTTGGGGTGACCCCAAAGATACCCAGTGCAATGGTGAAACTTAGGTCCAGGCTAAGCCATGGTAACTAATCAGTGGTGGAGACAGGGACAGGAGGTAGTTCCAAGATGATGCAAGGATCCCCCTGGGCACAGGAAGAAGCTCGCAGAGCAGCTTTGTCCCGAACAGTAGATCCATTTACTGATCACAACTCCAGACTTCCCCCAGAAGAGGGCTCAAGGTTGCCTGCCTGCATACCCTGCTCTGTGGCTTTGGGGCCTCCCTGTTCCAAAAGGCACTGAACAGGATATTTTAATAGAACACTTCAAAAGGGTCATATCAGTTTTTACAACCAGTTGTTTATGTGGCTATTCCTCACCCTAACTTCCACATCAATTGTGCAGGACTTTCTAGTCTGTTCCTTGTTGCAGTGTTGAGTCCTTGACTCAACCTCCCCACTTTTATTTTACAATTATACATTCCTTTAAACCCTGGGGGGGGGGAGGGTGTGCAGAGCTAGAAAGCTAAAATTTCAAGACAATTTTAGAATATGTAAGATTCTAAGGGAAAGCCAATCTGTCTCCCACAAACTATCATTCTAAAGGATTCAATTCCTTGTATTAATTAGAGACAAGAATATGAGAACATATTACAGTCCAAATAACCCTCCTTCCAAAGCTAAGGTGATCAATCTGGTAAGAGGAGCACAGTCTTAATCACGCACAAAGCAGAGGGATCGATCTTCTATATTTTTAAATAAATAAGATTCCTTTATTAGGCAGCCAGATCTATTTATTATTAGACTACAAGAGATAAATATGCCTTTAAGGGAAAATAAAAAACTCAACACAGTCCTTTCAAGATAAAAATAAAAGATCAGAAACTGAGGACTCTGCTTACTCAGAGACTAAAATCTTTCTCCTCAAGACTGTAGGAAATCTATATTCTGCCTTTAATTTCTTACTTTTACTTTTTGGCCCACTGAGATCTGCTTCCAAACTCCACACTGAAGTTCCCCTCACCATGTGTTCATTGACCTCCATGGCCAATAGATTGTTTTCATCAACAGGCCTGATGTCACCCTGCCTCTCGGATAAGAATGGCTCAAACTCCCATCCCACATTCTAGGGACATTCCAACACCTTCCCCAGCCCTCTCATCTTTCTGCAATTGGCTTCTCATCCTTGGGTTCCCCATTGTGCCCCACCCCCTCTCCTCACTCTTCCAAATACATATCACTGCAGAATAACATAGGTCTGTAGGTTGCCAGAAATGTAGAGGCATTTCGCCACCTACAACTATTAACTGTGTATCAATCACATAACTTTTGAAATTCTTTTCTTCACACCTTCCACAAGGGGATTCTCACTGCTGGTGCCATCTTTCTGCTTTCTTTCCACCTTCCCTTCCTATCACTCTGCCTCACCTAACTTTAAAATCCTAGCTCGGGCCTCCCTGGTGGCGCAAGGGGTTAAGCACAGCACTGTGAAGATCCCAGCAGCCTCTGAGATCCCAGGATGGCCAGGGAGCTACCCACATGGTACAGTGGACCTCATGTCTTGCCCACTGCTCCCCTCAGCAGTGTATTTCAGCACATCTGCCTGTTCTGTTCCCTACTCTGTCTCTAGTGAATCCTCTCACCCTCCCTCACCCCGCACCTCTGGCCTGTACCCCAGTTCTTGTATGCATAAATAAATCTTTAAAAAAAAATTCTAGCTGTATTGAAAGGGGAAATTCAGGTCTGTCCCTCCAAACCCATCAAGAAGTTCAGGGTATCCGAAGGCTTCAGTGCCTCAGCAGGCGAGTAGAGACCCTGAGGTTCTAGACTCTCCTTTAAGAGTGTCCAGCCTTCTCAGGAGGCACCAACCCCAGGTAGAAGACCTTATTTGCGGCATCTCCTTCCAAACAAAACCCCTCTCCTGCTTGGCTGCTTTATATAAACTTCTTTTGCCCACCCCTTGGGTTGGAGTTCCTCAGGGTTCTGTCTTTGGCCCTCTGCTACAGCTCACTCTAAGATAGGATTCTCAACCCTGGCCCACATTAGAATCACTAGGAGAAGGGGGTGCTTCTAAAACTCCTGATGTCCAGGCCGGACCCCTTTCAGATCGACAGACTCAGATTTCTGGGCATAAAACCCAAGGCCTCAGTAAATGTCAAACCTCCCTCACATGCCATCATTCCTGACTTTTGAAACTAGAGCTGCCTTGACCTTGCCCCAGATCAATTAAATCAATATCTTTGGAGCGGGGTCTCAAATCATCACATTGTGCAGCTGGGATTAAGAACCACTGCTCTAAACATTCCACTCTGCTTGGGCATCAGTTACCCTTCTAGGGCAATGATTTCCAAATCTCCTGCTAACTTCAACCCACAATTCTTATAACCACTGGCCATCTCCACCTGCACACTCCACAGGGACCACATTTCTCTTTCCTAGGCTCACATCTCGTGCATGCTAACACAACCAGCTAGTAGCAAAGTCAAACTTGAATGTTAACTTTAACTCCCCGCTAGCATTAAATAAGCCTGTTACATCTGATAACCTACCCAACCTCAACATCTAGGTCACCTATCCATCCTCTCCCTCACAAACCTCACATCAGCACTGCTTTTCTTTGGGTCTTCCTCCTTTTCCTGAACCCATGACCATTTATACTTGATCATATTCTCTTCCCAGATTCTTCTCCAACTAAACCATCTTCCATATTATCACAAGTGTAAGGAGTTAAGCTGAAACAGTTCTTAGTGCTGATATGGATGTGGAGAAACAGGGACACTTCTGGTGGAGGAAAAACTGCACAGCATCTTTAGGACGATTTTCTAATATCTATTAAAACTAAAATCATATATGTGTGTTTATGTATGCATAGGTATGTGTATACACGCCTATGTACATATGTATACATAATTTTATATACGTGTGTTTCTATAAATTCCACTTCAAGTAATTTGTCCCCCAAATACTTTTTTTGCACCTGTATAAAGGTAATTGGGCAAGGATATTCATTGCAGCAGTTGGTAATAGCAAAGATTTACAATCAACCAATCTAATATACATCAGTAAGGAAATGGCATAAAGATCATTGAAGATCCATACTGTGGAGTTTTCCATGCAATTTCAAATTAGTGACATATCTATGAGCCGATAAGGAAAGAGAACTGAGATACATCAAAACATCTATGGGTCATAGAAATTGAAAAAAAGCAAAATGAAGAGATTTTTTTTTTTTAACAGTGATCGATCTTTGGGAAATATACCTAGGTTTCTGAAATAAAACAGAACACTTGCTTTTCAGTATTTAACCTTTGGTATTATTTGGATTTCTTTACCTTTTCAGTAGATTATGATTATTTGAGGGTTCTGAACACAGGGAGATTTATATATATAGCTATGAATTATATATATAGCTATGACCAAATGAATTTGGTCATGTATTAGTACTTGGTACAGAGAGAACTAAAAGCATGGAAATTATCAACACCAGGGAAAACAAAAAATTGCACAACAAATGAAATTTAATTATAATGCACCATATGGCTCAACTGTGAATATGTTGACAAAACAATTTAAAAACTGACTAGTGATCTAAACAAACATGCTACAACTATACAGTGAAGCTGGGAATGGGTAAATGGGTATCTGTTGGAAATGAAAGGTCCAGGGGGAAATAAGAAACTGAAATCCTTATCTTCCAGAGTAGAATATCAATAAATAACAAAAACTGAAATATCAAGAAATAATACTACCTTATTTGGAAATAAAGAGATAAATAGAGAAAATGATTAAAAGAATTGGAAGTGGTTTTCTCAAAGGTGCCAGAACTAGGAGTAGGGGTGGTAAGGAGGTGGTGTACTGTATTACTTTAATATTTTTTTAATTAAGGGGTAATTAAAACTATCATTCTCATTTTGGGTGGGGTACATCCAAATCCCCCTGGAAATTTCTTCAACACACACATGGACTTGCTATAATAGAAATGAGATGTGGCAAAGAGATGTCTAGTCTAAAAAATCTCCCCAGGGTGACCCTGATGTCTCTTCCCTGCTAACACCCTTCAAAGCACTATTCAAAATAACAGATATTTTCATGCATACTCCTGTTTAAAGTTCACCAATGGCTTTTGTGGGCCTTCGAGATTAAATCCAAACCCTTTAGCAAGAAATATACACTCATCAGGGCTTAACCTTTACCCTTCCTGTCTGCCCTGCTTTTACCTCCCTTGGTCACTCCCATACTGACCTCGAGTTCCTCGAGCTGTCAATATGTAAGAAGAAATAGTTATCATGAGTAGCTTCTCTCTGACCACACATTAATTCTCCTCTGATGGATTCCCCTTCTGCTGCTAACTTCTAAATGCAGAGGTACCATTTATGTGTTGATTACTACCTATTAATGTGTCCAGCCCAGGCCTCAAACCTCAACAGCACAAACTATACCGAACTGTCCAACAATCCCCCTTGGAATAGCCAATGAGTGTCTCAAACTTTTATATCCACAATAGAAACCCTGATTTCCACCCAAATTTGTTCCATAGTCTTCCCTATCACAGCAACTACCTATTTGTTCAAGTCAAAACTTTAGGGATGGGCCTCCCCAGTGGTGCAGCGGTTGAGCGCTGGGTGCGAAGCTGCCCGCAGCCTCTGCAGCGCCGGTTCGATCCCCGGCTGCAACCCGGCCACCGGCGGAGGGTCCCACATGGCGCACAGACCTCTCCTGCCGCCCGCTGCTCCCCTCAGCAGTGTGCTTCGGTCCTTCTGCCTGCCCTGCTCCCCGCTCTGGCTCTGGCGAATTCTCTCACCCTCCACGCTTCTGACTTTACCCAGTGCTTGTATGTATAAATAAATAAATAAATCTTTAAAAAAAAAAAAAAAAAAAAACTTTAGGGATTATTCTTGTTTCTCCCTTTCTTTCATTCTGCACATCAAGCTCATTGATAAGCTTTGCTGTTTCAACCTCCAAAATGGACCTCAAATCTCTTTCCAATGTCACAGTCCTGGACTACTGCAAAGCTTCCTCTCTAGACTCCTATCCTCTTCTTTGTGAATTATTAATCAGATCACATCATTCCCTGCTTCAAACATCCTAGCAGCTTCTCCTATTGCTTTTTCAAATAAAATTCAAATTCCTTACTCTGGAGTCTGGGGTGTATGATTTAGGAATAAATCATACAACCCCGAGAGCTTTCCAACCTCATACAGTGAGTGGGAAGGTCACAAGAACCAGCCATCCTCTAAAGGGGTCCACCTAGCCAGTAGCAAGAATAGCAGCTTCCCTCTCTCTCCTTTGTGTGCCTGGTCAGTAGCTTGCTGTTTTCAAGAAGGCACTAAATTTGAACAAATGAAACTGATCAGTCCCGGGTGGGGACGAGAAGGTATCTTAGTCTTAACACAAAAGTCCTTCTTTCTTCCGGTCTTTCCTCCACCATCTACCCTGACAACCAGTCAGTGGTTGCAAATCCCACACATGCACACCACACCCACCACCTGACTGCAGTCCTAGGCTATTTCCCCAGGAGCACTGCCTCCAGAGTCCACAGGCAGACAGTCTGGACCTCACAGGGAGGTTGAAGTGTGGCATTTAGAACATGTTTACGGGCCTGCGGGAGACTTAGTCTGAGTCCTAGCACATCCATTGGGGCCCCTCCAACCCCTGGGGAGTTTTCTGCATGTGCCATGGCTGTCAGTGGTTTGTTTTAGAAGCCCGAAGATAGTGAGGGGCATTTGCTGTCTTTATAATAAACACAAAACACAGACGTTTCTGAGGACAACAAGGGAAGCTGGGTGACCCTCAAGTCTTCATGTTCATAAATGTGCCCTAATTAATTTAAAATTATAATAAAATACAGATAGGGCTTTGCAAGTAGCAAGAGGCATGCCTTCTAAATAATTAAAACCCGTTTCTTGAAGGAATGGGTATGATAAAGCCTAATGTCAACAGTACCTAAGCACTTGTCTATGTGCCTGGAATTAAAAATGGACCTATATTTACTCTCGTTTCTGCAAACATTTCTCCTATGCAGAGCAGGAGCAGGATAAGAGGAGAAGACCAGCTACTATTTACATGCCTACTGTCTCAGGGCAGGCTCTCTGCAGAGCGGGAAAGCCTGATGTACTCTCACAGGCTGGGTCTAAACTCTGGCTTTGCCATTATCTGCACACCCTGTGTAAGTTTCTTTACTTCTCTGAGTCCTGGCTTCTTCATCCATAGATTGGGGCTCTCACCCCCTCCCTTGTGGGCTTGTTACAGGGATTTATGGAGATAGTGGAGGTAAAGAGTCTGAGGCCAGCATTTACCCAGCATGTGCTGGGTAAATGATAGCTGTTACTACTGCATTATTATGCTCCTTAGTAGCTGCGATCCCGAATCTATCACTCACCTTCTGCCATCCCCCTTCTGGGTCTTCGCCCAGTGCTCCACTTGGGCCAGACTGCTCTTCCTCTGGCTCTGCTTGTCATGGTTGGTCCTGGGAGGAAAGGCCTGCTGGTACCCGCCAGTCCCATTCTGCTCTCCTGGGCCATATGTGGTGGGCAGCATGCCATTCTTCTCTGCCCGCTGGGGCTGTGCCTGCTGGCCTCTCAGCCCACCAGATAAATCCATGAACAAGGCATCCTCATCGGTGGGTGAGTAGAGAGACCTGGTCTTGCTCCTGTCCCGCTTGGCCTCCAGTGGGTCTCTCTGGGGACGGTACCGTTCTTCCTCTTGTTCCCGCCTCTCGTACCTGAAGGAGTCCTCAAGGCCATGGTGAGAACAACCCCTCGTGTGTCCAGGTGCCACACGGCCACACTCGCGACACGACTCTGTGTGGTTGGCCTGGGGAACTGCCTGCCGCTCCGCTTTTTCCATGTCCCTGCAACAATAGGCACAATCAGCCCCTTCCAGATAGCACAGCTTGCACTACACGAATGTGTAGATGAACACACACTATACGCAGATGACTTCCAGGCCTTTGTAGGGGCTGCTTTTGCTTTTAGTCCATCTTTCATGCCCAGTCCTCCATTCTGCCTGCCTGACTTCTACTCCTTTAGGGATCTGGCTTGAATGTCACCTCCTTCCAGAAGCCACCCCAGCTATACACCCCAGTCTAGATCAGGACCTTAGTGGACTCCACTGCCACACTACTCACACTGAACCCTAATTGTGTGCTTATTCATCTAGCTCCCAAATAGACAATGAGTTCCCTCAGGCCAGAGGCCCATCTGGCTGATCATCCTGTTCCCAAAACTTCCACACAATGATGGCTATAGAATAGGTATTCTATAAAACCACTGAGCAAAAGGACAAATAAGTGACATACCTGACAATTTTATGGCTTTCCCTTTTGCTATCTGTCCACTTGCCTGGAGCTCCTGAGCCCAGGTCTTGCCACATGGCATCCAGCACAACCCAAAGTACAACTGGCAGCCAAAAAAGCACTTTGGGAAGATGGAAGTAGAGGAGAGGTTGAGAGCACAGAGAAGAGGTATGGGAGTCTTCACATGACAGCTTATCTATCTCGCCAAGGAACAGCTCAAGCAGAACACAAGAGCACTGATCTAAAACAATTCTCTGAAGTACCATTAGTCATATTTTAGAGATAAGGAAACTGAGGCACGGATCATACAGGTGGAAAACAGTGAAACCAGGGCTTAATCCCAGGTAGACTGCAGAGCTCATGAGGGTTAGCCACTGCTCTCCATGTGTGTCTCTGGCCTACATAGTCTTCACTCACACCAGCTGGTTCATGGAAACTGGGACTTTAAGCAAAATGACAGAAAATGAAACCAGGTACTCAAGTGACATCATTTCCTTCAACATCAGCCAGGATTCTTTCTTTTTCTCATTAACCATGGAATGAAATGATGTTGAACGAAGCAGGACTCATAGGCCTGCTGTACAAGCAAACCTGGACACGGTAAAGGAGAATGGGGTGGGGCAGTGGGTCCGGGTGTGAGCAACGTGTGGCCGATCTCCCATTGTAAGCTCCCTTACTCCTAACCTCCTTTGGGCAGGCTCCTGGCTATGCCCACCTGCCCATTACCTGTACCTGGGACACAGTCGTGGCTCTATAAGCTTTGCAAATTTTAGATTGAGGAGGCAGGGAAATTCAGGTCAGAAGGACAACAAAACAAAACAAAACCCTAAAACCAAAAACCCCACCAGGGATCCCCAGTTGGCTGGGGCAGGTAATAATCTGGCACTCCTTGGTGAAAAAAGTCCTGGTATTGGGGTCTTTCATTCCTCCCAACGGCCAAGTCAGAGGGTTCTCCATTTCAACATGAGAGCAGACAGTGGAACTGCTGCTGCATTGACGCCTCAGTGGCCAGACCCCAGAGGTCCTTCCAGCAATCTCAGAACCTCAGCTACCAATAATCAGTGAGGATTCAGGGCAGAAGAATCCAGGCTGGGAGCTAGTTAAAAATCTCAATATTAAGTGAAAATACAATTGCTAACAGAGTCTGCTTTTCAGTGTGTGTATTGGCTTCATGCAGGCGTGGAGAACTGAGAACAGAATCACACAGCTCAATGTTCATTTAATGTGCATTTTCCATGAAAACCCAAAGCTTTGTGGGGAAAAAACAATGCTTCTTTAGAATTTCTGTTATCCATCACCAGAGGACATTTTCCCCCCAGCACATATTCCTTCTTCTGGATATAGCACTTCAATTTTCACTTGACCGGGCAGGGGGGGCGGGGGGGGGCGGGGGTCACCCCCACACACACTCTCGGTCCAGGTAGTGTGGGTGCTGCTGCCTAGACTGTCCCTGTCTAGTTAAGATTTCAAAGTTGGAGTGACAGGTTCAGGGTTCACACATGACCCAATCAGAGTCAGCCCTGGCACTTTGGGGTGCTGCTCTTGAGCTATTCCAACTCTGTGGGAAGCAGCTCTTTGAAAATGAAGCCAAAATCAAGGAGAGCAGATGGTGGTGAGAAATACAATCCTCAAGACTTGGTCTGGGCTCTTAGGTTAAGCCACACCCAAACCAAATCAATCCTTGACTTTTTGGTTGTGAACTAATACCCTTTCTCATTTAAGCAAGTTTGGGTTTAGTGTCTGTTACTCATGCTGCAGGAGTCCAATCACATCATTTAATGGTGGCATATTTAGATGGCGGTCTCTATGCGCCCTCCGTTCCTGATGTTCATGGGCTAAATTCTATGGGCTATATTTAAGCTGGTCTACGCTATATACATTACAGGTTTCAACTTTGTCTTTCCTTTCTTCTTTTAATCCTCCATAACCAGGTCAGTGTAACCCCAAACCAGTAGTCTGTACGTTGCCTAAATCAGCCTTAAATTCTTTACTGCTTCTCTAATTCAGGAAACTGCCATGGGGGATGTGCTCAGGCTGCTGCCTGAAGATCAAAGCTCTGAGTCACACCATGGCCGAGTCCCAAAGTCCCAAGCTGGCTACTCCAACTGTGAGCCCTGAGTAACTGTACCTCTTTGTCATTCCCACCTCAAGATAAACAGCACCTTGTCATAAAAGCCAGACAGTGAAACAAATATGCCACCTACATGGAAAAAGGGCACTTCCTTGACTTCAGGACCCAAGGATGTGGGTACAGTGTCTCAGTCCAACCAGCTGAAATGTGGATTTTTCTGTCTTTACCAATCAAACACCATATATTTACTGAGCACCTATATACCTCTACATCACACACCAGATATAAGAAAATAGTAGGAAAAACAGCCCTTGCCCAGAAAGCCAAATGACCCTAGAGCCTGATTTAATCACAATGATTTACTGCTGTTCTCATAAACTGACTCCAATTCACAGAGTTGGCCCATCTTTTCTAACCTTGGAGGTAACTTATAAACCTTAGTCCTTGCTGTGTGTGCACATGTGTACACGTCCATATATGCCTGTACTTCCTAGAAATAAATTTGATAGGGAATGATAAACCCTTTTCTTCTGATGAACACCGGTAAGCCCACTGTACAACAAGCCTTTAGAGGCGGCTGATAAAGGTTGGTCTATGTGCCACCTGCTAGCTTTTGAGCAGCTAAGACTTGAGGTTATGAACAGCTTCTTATTCCAATGACTGCAAAGGACTTATATAAGATGCCTTGGGACCCAAAATGTTGAGGCTCTGACTGCAGACAAGGAAGGTGATGGCCCTGCTCTACCATCTTACCTGACTGAAACATTTAAGTTATAGGATTGAAGGCAAAGATGCTTTCTGGCTTTCTCCCTATCTTCTTGCAGTCCCAACAATTTAACACATAGTTTCTCAAATCAGGAGACCTGTCACAAAATAGATATGCAATGCTTGGCTTTGTACAACAGCTAGGAAAAAAATGAAGTAATCTTCCACTGAAGTAATCTTCAGTGACGGTCATTCAGGGAAGTTGGCTTTGCAGGGCAGAGATACTCAGTTCAGATGACACAGCCTTTCCTGTGCAGATCATTTCTATCATTGTGAGCACCAGGAATCAGTGAGTATTCAAAATGCAAGAAAATTCTGACATTTGGTGACCATTTTGGCTAGATGTACCACTTCCTAAATATGACAAACCCAGAAGTTATATGGTTTAGAGCCAGTCATACCTGGATTCTAGAGCTGGCTCCATCCCACACAAAATGAGTGACCTTGGGCAAGTCCCTGACCTTTCTGGTTTCAGGTTCTGCATCGGCAAAATGGGGACATAAACCTTGTGCCCTTGAGTTTTGGGGATCAAAGGAGACAAGGCACAGAAAGAGCACCGCATCTGGCACAGAGTGTCTGCCCTTAAATCCAAATGCATCCACTCCCAATATCTATTGTCGTCTCCTTCCTTGCCCCAAGCTTTTCAAAGCAATAATATACCCAGCAAAACCCCCTTACATTTTCCCAACCTCACTTGGAGTTGAGGGTGATCCTGTGACATAGATCTGATCAATTAGATGTAAGCAGAAATTGCTGGGTGGGTTTTCCAATAAAGTCTTTAAAAGAAGACACACTAGGCTAACTTAGCTCACCCTTCCCTCCTCCTGCCTAGAATGTAGAGTCCACGCTGGATTGCAAGGTAACAAAAATGAGTAGAAGCCTGGTCCCTGATGGCCTCATCGAGCTACTGCACAGCCTGGACTACCTACCTTTGTATTCCTGTTATGTGAGAAAACAAAAACCCAATGTGATTATGCCATCCTAAGTTCTTCTATTACTAGCAACCAAACGTAATCTCTGTATCAGGGGCTCAGGTTATTATTAGCAGGGATTGGGGCTCTCCATCTTCAGGACCTCAAACAAGGCCGCATGTCTGCCTTGAGCGCATTCTTGTTCCCCCTGCAAGTGGGAAGAGCACACATCACACACCAGGAATGCTTCTCACTTCTTATTCCTTTTCTCCATATGAACTTGGAAGTTAACATTTCATGCCAAGGAACTGTGCCCTGATTATTATTTTATTTTGCCTCTGATGCTACCAGAAAATAAGGAATATTCCGTTTTATCTTAATTCTAAACACATCCACATACACATCACACACGTTAAATCTTATTCAGAGGCTCTGGTGGGAAAAGGAATGTAGGGGCTTGGTTGACTGTTGGCCTTAGTGGTGGACACAGTCCTTCTGTCACAATCCCACAGGAGCATTCCACCCTCCTCAGCTTACTAAATAACCAAACTAGCAGCCTAAGGACAAGGGCCAGCCACTGATATTCTTGGAGAGTTTGGTCTGAGCCAGGGCAGATGGCATAAATCCGAGGAAACCAGTTCAACCTGTTTGCAGACAGATGCTGAGTTCTGAGCACCCAGCCTCAATCTCGGGAGGATGGTGGGTTCAAAAAGCTAGACCCCGCCCAGGGCACAGTCCGTAGATTTGAACAAAAGATTGACAGGAAAAGAGGGGCCAGGTTCTCTCAGGAGCCCTTCCGCAGACCTGCT